ATGCAGCTCCACAGTGTTCAGATGGTACATTATTCATTAGAGTACCGACTGAGGTGACGCCAGATGAGCATGAAGGTGACACAGAGGACACATGTACTGATGTGCATGATCAGGGACCGACGGCTCAGGTTCATGATTCTATTACGGTTCGGAGACAGAGGAGAGACATACGGGTACCAGCACGGTATGCCGACACAGTTGCGTATGCACTTCCGATGGAGAGTATCGATGAGATGATGCTTACTATATTCAGAGAGGCCGAGCAGAGTTCAGAGGCTGATTCGTGGCAGGTAGATATGCAGGAGGAGATGGAGTCTCTTCATACGAACGATACATGAGAGCTTGTTGAGCTTCCAAAGGGGCGGAAGGCGATTGGTTGTAAGTGGGTATACACGAAGAAGGAGGGCATTGAGAGCACTCCATTGAGGTTCAAAGCTAGGTTGGTTGCGAATGACTATGCACAGGGGGAAGGTATTGACTATAATGAGGTTTTTTCTCCGGTGGTGAAGCACTATTCGATTCAGATTTTGCTAGCTTTGGTGGCACAGTACGGATTAGAGTTAGATTAGTTGGATGTGAAGACGACATTTCTTCATGGTGATCTTGATGAAGAAATATATATGACTCAGCCATTGGGATTCCGAGCTGCAGGGAAAGATAAGTTGGTTTGCAGGTTAAAAAAATCACTATACGGTTTGAAGCAGTCTCCTCGACAGTGGTATAGGCGATTTGATGGTTTTATACTTTGACATTCGTACACTCGGAGCCAATTTGATCATTGCGTGTATTTTCACAAGTTGAGAGGAGGTGCGTACATTTATTTATTGCTTTATATCGATGACATGTTATTTGCCTCTACTTCCAGGTCGGCTATAGATGAGTTAAAAGTTCAGCTTTCAAATGAGTTTGAGATGAAGGACTTGGGTGATGCCAAACGCATTTTGGGAATGGAGATCGGCAGAGACAAGAAGAAGGTCAGAATTTGTTTGACACAGGTGGCTTATTTGAAGAAGGTTCTACAGTGATTTCATGTTAGCATGGATACGAAACCAATTAGTGTACCATTGGGAGCCCATTTGAAGCTTTCGACTAGTCTTTCACCGAAGTCAGTTGAAGATCGAGAGTTGATGTCGAAGACTCCATATGCAAGCGCGGTTGGGAGCTTGATGTACGCGATGATATGTACGAGGCCGGATTTGTCACAGGCGGTGAGCATGGTTTCGAGATACATGCATGATCTAGGAGTGGGTCATTGGGACGTCGTGAGATGGATTTTGAGGTATATTCGAGGTACGCTCAATGTTGGATTGGTTTATGAGCGGGACGCTACAGGTGTGCAGTTGTGCATTGGCTATGTTGATTCAGATTATACCGGGGATTTAAATAAGCGCCGGTCTACGACAAAGTATGTGTTCACTTTGACTCGTGTGCCGGTGTGTTAGAGATGCACCTTACAGTCTACGGTGGCTTTGTCTACGATGGAGGCAGAGTATATGGCGATTACGGAGGCTGTGAATGAGGCTATTTGGCTTCGAGGACTTTTGGAGGAACTTGGTATATCGCAGTGGTCCGTCACTATTCATTGTGATAGCATGAGTGCTATCTATTTGACGAAGAATTAGGTTTTTCATGCGAGGACGAAGCACATTAATGTTTGTTATCACTTCGTTCGAGATGTTCTTGAAGATGACGATGTGGAAATTGTGAAGATCCACTCGAAGAATAATCTGACAGATATGCTCACTAAGGTGGTTCCGAGTAACAAATTTGATCATTGTCGAAATTTGTTGCACATTCGTGATTGTTGAGGCCATTGACGACCATTTGGATGAACTACGGGCGAATTGATCCATTAGGAGAGAGGGTACGTAGGCAATCACATTGGTACAGCCGAGGTTGGAAAGATGACGCATTGGTGCTCATGTTAGTGTCGGCTCAGTTTTTGAAAAACTTCGCCGAGGTGAAGAATTGTGAAAAACGACGAAGGAATTGAGGAAAAAAATTGAAAAAAATATGAAAAATAAGCAAAACAGACTCCACCACACCCTGGTGTGGTGTCTACCACACCGGTGACAGAATTTGCCATGTCGCCATGGGTGTGGTGTTTGCCACACTCTAGTGTGACAGAATCTGTCCTGTTTGTCATTGGTGTGGTGTGTGCCACATCAGGATGTGGCACTCGTTTTTAGAATCCTAATCTATTTGTGATTGTGTTTTGTTATAAATAAAACCATATTTTTGTTGGCCTTCTTGTTTTGATGGTGTTTAACAAACAATTTACTTCTAATGTTGTTTGTCTAGTGTTTGTGTTTTCGTATTTATTCTAGGCAAACAACGAGTTGGAGGATGGATGGAATAGAGCTTCAACGATCATATCCAATGGAGGTTGGAGGAATTGTGGAGTGAAGCAACGTACAATTCAAGTTAAAGATCAAGTTCAAGCTTCATCCGCATGTGTACCAAGTTGAGCTACAATGAAGATCAAGATTAAGCTTGGGTAATCTAGTTTAGATTTTATATTATGTGTGTTAAGTACCTTAAGCTCAATATCATATACACACACGTATTTGGTTTCTATGTATATATATAGTTATATATATACATGCATGGTTTTGAGTTTTCATGCTTTGGACACACTTGCAAAATACATGAGTTTTCACAAATGGAAATTCAATTTGAGAAATTCTTTTTCTAACATGTTTGTTTTCATGTTTATAAACATTTCGTAAAATTTCATCAAGTTTGGAATTGATTTGTTATGTTTAATGGAATTTACAAAATCATGTTTTTATTCGTGCACATGTTCGTGCATGTTTTACAAAACAGATGAGTTTTCATAAATGGGAAGTGATATTCAAGAAATTCTTTCTTTGACATGTTTATCTACATGTTTAGAAACTTCCCTCAAAATTTTACTACTTTTGGAGTTGATTTACTGTGCCCAATTGATTTTACAAAATCGTGTATGTCAGCAGTTTTTCAGAAACTGTAAATCTGTGTTCAAACAATTATATCTGACCGACGAGAGCTTTTTCAGCTTCCAACGGCTAGTTTTCTTACCGTTGCTGGGGCTGTTTCTGTCTTTTGACTTGGGATTTTCAGCTTAGGTTTTGGAGGATATAAATACCCTCTTTGATCTTAGTTTTCAACTAAGAAAATAAGTTTTTAAACAAGGGTTTTAAATAGGAGTTTAAGCTTGTTTAAGCTTGTTTAAGGGTTTGGTTTAAGCTGTTTTGGTTTTCACAAGTGGAGGAGATTATCTTCTTGTTTGGGCCTCAAATCTCCATCTCTCCATCTTGATCTAGAGAAGTTTTCCTAAACTCAAGTCTAGCTTTTATTTATAATTATTTGTTGATTATCATTTCTATTAAAGCTAGTTTTATATTGAGTTTATAGATTTTATTTTACTCATTGTTACACACACCCACTTGAGCTTATTGTATTTGCATTCATAATATATTTGGGGTTGTGAGAGTTGTAACTTTGAGTGTGAGCTTTCATTGTGTTCTCATCCATAGTAGAGAACAAACAATTATTGTAGTGAGCTTAATTGTGAGATTCACTTTGTAATATACTTGTACACCGAGTGAGGAGTGTGTGGTGAGAGTCGGTGATCGTTCCAAGAGGAGTGGCGTCGGTTGACGAACCTAGGGAGAGGTTGTAACCGAGCACTTGAGGGAGACACGGCTAGGTCCAACACTTATGTGGGTGTAGAGTGTAATTGCATAGTGTTTGTTGTGTGAGAGTTTTCTGTGAACTTGTAAACCGAGTTTGTAGAAGTTCCGGCTTCCAAACCGGGTTGTGTTAGTGGATTTCTCCCCGGGAGTGGGGAGCGGAGACGTAGGACAGAAGGTCCGAACTCCGTGATCATATTACTTGTTTGAGTTTGTCTTTGGCGTAATTATTTTTGCATTTATCTTATATCGCCAATTGTGCATTGCTCATCATTTTTATGATCCACTATCTAGTTCATATTGTTTACCCCTTGTGATTGTTTCATATCCTTACATATATCATATTGTATATCTCTTTGGTAGGATATATCATCTTGTGTTAGTTTATATCCTTACATATATCATATTGTATATCTCTTTGGTAGGATATATCATCTTGTGTTAGTTTATATATCCTTATACATACATTGCCTATATCTCTTTCTTAGGATATATCTTGTTGTTCATATTGCTTATCCTAGCTTATATTCTATATCTCTTTCTTAGGATATATCTTGTTGTTCATATTGCTTATCCTAGCTTATATTCTTGTTGTATTTCATACTTGCTAGGATAACTTATTAATTAATTTTAATTGACATTTAATCGAATTAGATTAGTATAAGACCCTAATCACCCCCTCTAGGGTCTAACAATTTTTAGGGTTTCTTAAGGAGAGAATTAGCATTGTTTTGGGCACATTAAGAGGGAGATATTGTGAGGGAGTTGAGAGCTTTGGCTAGGGATATATTTGAGTGATTTTGTGAGTTATAACCCCATTGTATTTCTCCTCCAATTAGTGAAATCTCTCCATCCTCTCCTCGTGGAGGTAGACAATTGTCGAACCACGTAAATTCATGTGTTTGTGTGTGATTTTAGTCGTTATTTTGTGAATTGCACTCGTGTTTGGTTTTGGTTTTATTCTCTCATCGCTCACTGACTCATTTGGTTATCGAGCACGCTTCAACAATTGGTATCAAAACACAACATTATTAACATGGAAACTACAATTTCGAAATGGTGGAAGTCAGAAGAAGGGCCATCTAGTTCAAAATTGTTGATGGTTTACGAAATAATTTGAACTTCTGCTTATCAATTAGTGATGAAATTCTACTGATCATATATTATTTTATTTATTTATTTATTTATTTATTAATTCACAATTTTGAACTTTCAAAAGCCAAAATATATATTTGAGGAACTTTTTAAAAAGTATTGCATTTTTAATTTTAATTTTTTTAACTCCAATTACCAACCCAAGAGTCCCAAATAAAAGATCAATGCACGTCAGACCAACAAAATGATACCGCCCTAATTATTTGAAAACTTCCATTTCATTTAACATCAGAAGCTTGCACACATGATCTAATCTACGAACCCAAAAGCCACCCATCATACGTACCATTCTGCTACGCTACGACACAAGTTCAACCGCAACACTCGACAACTATACGTACTATTCATACTAGTTGCATTTTCCATCCCTAACCATGCATCAACGGACCAGTTCAATTTCGATACTTGGACTCGTCGATATCGATCCCCTCTCTAGCCGCTCTCTCGCCGCCAGACTCATCACCCGTGCTCAGACCACCCTTGCGGCCCATCTCCTGATATCCTTCAGTCCCAAGCTGGTCTCTCCTCGTCTGCCCTCCTCGGCTTCTCCCTTTCATAAAATAAGGACACAATCAGTACAACGAAACAAACAATTGCAACTATAATCTTGACGGTAAACTAAACCTTCAGCAAGATGCTCCTGTGCCTCGAGGCTCTTTCCGCCGGTCCCGCCGGGGACCACAGTCTCCCCTTGCCTTGCCCTTGCGTCGAGCTCTGCGCGTTCTTGTTGAGATGCCATGGTTTTCCTCCGCTAGCTAGCTTGTTGGAGGTTATAACATCTTGTGAATGTAACAAACCTTTGAACACGCAACAAGCTAGTTATAGAGAGGAAGAGGAGAGGGAGGAGATGACACGTAAGAGGTGAACGCGTAAGGTACCGAGGTGAGGAGCTAGTGTGGGATGACACGTGTGATGGTAGTTGACACGAGTCCGTACGTGTCTTTGGACAGGAGGCAACTAGAAGATGGCTGTGAATTTAATGGTGCGTGTGGATGGAGGGTAGAGTAAAGAAGGGGAAGAGAAATTTAGATTTAACATTAGGAGTAAGTTAGAGAAAATTTATATTAAAATCTTACCCCCTAAATTAAAAAGTAAAGGAGGAGAAGAGAATGGATAGGAATGAAAAGTTTAACCTTTCTTTCCTTTCTTTGTCTCCCAAACAGGCTATAAAGGTAGAACTTGAGTTTGGGGATTAGAATGAAGTTTAGGGACTTGAGCCTTGATGAGTTTGTTTAATATGAAGGACATAATCCTAGATAGATAAGATGAAGACTAGTTAAATTCGGATCCTAATCTGTCACTTGTTCACAGACTGAAAAATACAAGAAGTGATCTCATGATTCAAGCTCATCTACTAAGGCTTTTAGGCTAACTAGTTTTTATGCACGTGCATTGCACGTGGTTAAATATCATAATTATTCATTTTTAGTTTATTTTCTTACTAAAATTTGTTCTTTAATTTTGATTTTTGCTCACTTATGTCTCTAAAATTTAATATTGTGATTATTTATCTTCTTTGATATTTGTTTGAGTAGGCTACATGAAAAACCTAATATTTGTTTTTTAATATTTGTTTGAATGAGCTATACGAAAACAACGTGAGGCCAATATGAATATTCATGTTATTTAAATCGATATGAAAGGAAGCTTCACCTAAGAAAGTATAATGTTGTAAAAGTAGAAAATATTTGAAAAACCAACATTATAATAGCAAGAGAAATAATTAAAGCCAATGAGTCTAGACAATTGATTAGAAGTGGCTACATGACACAAAAGAGAATATGGATTTTATTCATAATCATTGATAGACTTCATTAAAAACCATAAACTAAATATTAATGCTAACTCTAATATAATTTTATATGATAAAAGCATCCACAGAATAAGTATATAAATATATACTTATTTTGGCATTGATAAATTCTAGGAAGGTCGAGATTTAGATCGTCAACTTTTTGGCATTATTGTTCTAACTATCTAGATTACAATTAGACTACTAAATCTGCAATTGACAAATAACTAAAATATTTTTAAGAAAAAAACAAGGTTGTTCTTTCATTTATTTGACACTACAATATTCTTTCCTAACATAGAATTTTAATACATAAAACATATCATTATGTAATACTTCCCGATATATGTAAACGGAAAAAAGGAGTAGCAAAATCACTGACAATACTCGAGGAACAAACCGAGCAGAATAGAACATTCATAGAAAACTTCCGTAAGTAATAGCAACAAATAAGTACTAAAACATATCTAAAAAGATTCTTTTTCTCCATAATTTACTTTAGATATTTTCAACAGTTTCTGCGGCTGTGCTCAGCACAAATAAAACCACAGTACTAAAGAATCAACAAATCCCTGAATTCATATAAAAATAGAGGTCAATTAAAAGTTTTCTACAGCAGACTTCATGCCTCTTATCAATTTTCTTGTTGAGTCGAGACTTTCCGAGTACGAAGAAAGACATGGAACAGCTTCTGTTAGGATTGGAGTGCAAGTATCATGCTCAAAGTCATGACTACATAATCTGCTTGAATAGTTCCCGTAATTATGATACTCGAACAGAATCTTGTCATTAGCAATACTGATAACTTTGGGTAATTGTGGTGAACCTAAGCAGTTCTCTCGGTAATTTTTGGTACAAACGCTCAACATCTCAATCCAATTATTGTTATCCTTGAGCATCCATATCTTCACCTGAGGTTTTTTATATGTAACAAGCGCAACGCAAACATGCCCTATTAGCTCATGTATAGTTATACAACAATCTCTCATAAGTGGGGGTATGAGCGATCGATGTAACTTCAAACTTCTCATGTTTGATATCGAACCTAAGGATAGCCATGCAGTAGCCTTCATTTTCTTCTAGGTAATTTGAATATCATGATTATTTAAATTGATAAAAATAGAGCTAAAATAAAAAAAGAAAATAAACTTTTTTGTGGGATTGATCATCAACTCAATAATCTCTCTCTCAAATAAAATATTAACATTATTTTTTTAACCCAGACTGTGGCCACGTGATCTACTATTTTTGAGTTATAAACACATTAATCTAGTACAACATCTCTATTTATTAGTATCTTGAAGTCTTTAAAAAATGGGTGATCATTCAATTCGGAAAGAAATTTTGCATATGAATTTACTTGCAATATGTTCATTAAATTTTTAGATAACTTTACATTGTAGTTTGCTACTTGTAATATTGTTAGCAATGTTATTACATTTCCTCTTTAAAGATTTCACTGGAATATATCGAACGTTATTGTTAAGACTCATCGATAACAATATGTAGAATTTTGTGTCGTTTAAGACTCATCGATAACAATATAATTTAAATAAAGCAAATACAAGCTTTCATAAATATATTGAAAAAAATGAACTATATAAGTAGTGGTAGGAGAACTTGAGAGGGAAAAAAGGACTTGAAAAAGGAAAGTGAAAAATAAATGAATTTAAAATGAGGAAATGAGACTGGATGTGGATATGATTGTATCATATGTATTTGTACTTAAGGAGGTATTCCATATACAATGGTACTAAATAATAAGTGGCTTACGTCGATGTTTTCATGCTCAAAACGATTTATAGGATCACATAAGCAAAAGAATATGGTAATAAGATCTGAAACACTTTGTGAACTGTCTTTGTCCTTCACAGATCACATCAAATCCTATTATGCGTATTTTGACATTTAGGGGACCGATGAACAAAGGCATACAGTTTTAAGAAAAAATTAGCTTATGAGATTTTAATGAGAAGGAACATACCGAGAATGAAATCCTATCATAACAGATGCTACTATGAAAATCTCTACCTCTTCCTAAATATAAAGATCATCGGGACTCGAGAGTCTCCATTCCGCTTTCAAAATATGTTGAGTTCATGACATCTATGGCATTGACAGACTAATGTGTGTAGTTTGAACTGTAAGTCATAAATTGCAACATCAAAATTGAATAATCCTAATACGAATCAAATAAATAAAATAATATTTTGTTGATTCATTTTCAAATATGGGCTTGGTAATTTAACGATTTTAATGTGTTATGACAAATCTCCTGCTAAGCAAATGTCAATCACACAAAAAGCAAAGAAAATATAAACAAGATAATACACACACGTAGTTCATGCTTTAAATTACTAATTCCAAATCACACTACAAGACAATCTAATATAATCTCTCTCAAGTGAAGAGGAAGCAAAGAGCCAATACAAATATCAGCAGCCAAATAATTTAATTATATTGTGGTTCAGAATATAGAGAGAAGTGATCTCTATTCCAAATTACTACAGTTATCTCAAATTTCTATCCCAGCACATGATATATATAGCTACACATTTTTGTTTTTCAAACTTTGCATAAAGTAAGAATTTTAATTCTACAAAAAATTGGATTATAATCAAATAAGCTAGGCAAAGAAACTTACTGAGATCATTTGAATTTCCATATCAACATTAGCTAACAGTCAATAGGAACGAAACCACAAATTTTATTAATAAAGATATAATTATTAATTAAGATTAGATTACAATGTAACATCCAAAAAGTGTCAAGGGTAATAGGATATTTAAAATTTGTATTGGATAATTAGGATATATTATGATTAAAATATAATATTTAAAAGAGTTAAGGGTAATATTGAACATGGAAAGTTTTTCCGAACTCATAATTTTAAAGAGGGCAATCATAATAATCTCTGAATAGAATGGGAAATGACATAACATGAGCAATATTAGTCTAACTCTACTATTTACTTTAATGTTCTTAGTATCCAAGTTATTTTCTTTTGGTTGGATGAATATGTAGATGACACATTCCTATCATTCTTAATTACTATAGTTAAAGATTTTTGTTATAGGTAAAAAATTCTCATGGATCAATATGCATAACTTTGTAGCTCATTTTGCCATAGTTGTTACAGAAGAGACAACGTTCAACAACCTAAAACCCTCATCTATAAGTATCTCAAAGAAGTGATGGTGATACTAAAGTCTAAGGCGAACGAGAATGTGCAAATGAAGAGTAGGTAGTCACATATCATCCTGCGGGTAAAGAAAATCATAATAAATTTTAATTTTTGTATGTGTTAAGATTAAAAAAGAAAGACTTATTTTTATATATACCTCTTAAACCATGCATATTTGTAAAAATACCCCCAAATCTTAGTATTGACAAAATTGTCCATAATCATCAATTGTAGAAGAAAAACATATCCCTACCCCTCTCCACAAACCAATTCATATTAAATCCTAGCTAGTCTTTCATTTTAGCTCTAAAATCCTTAATTCACTAATCTCCACATCAATGAAAATTTTGCTCTTTTAGTGGGCTTCAAAGGGAAAGGTATGAAAAACATCAAAATTGGTAACATTTTTTATTTATATTTCATAAAGACAACAAACACCAATCATTGTGTCATTACTACACCTTATTACTTAATGATAACTTAAAACATTACAAATATTCATAGTAAATTTTTGCCAATCTTTAATTTTAGTCTTATAGCTCCAGATTCACTAATTTTTACATTAGACAAAATATTATCGTTTTAGGATAAAGTTTCATCAATTCCATGGAATGAATCGATGAAATAGGCTAGAATTAAATATGGTAAACTGCTCAATCAAAAATTCAGTATAGTAAATCAACTCCAAAAATGATAAAATTATGGAAAATGATTATAAACATGTAATAGAATATGTTACAAACAGAATTTTTAAAATTACTTTTCCCATTTGTTAAATATAAATTATTTTGTAAA